CGACAGATGGTGGAGAGAGAGAGAGAGAGAAAAAAAAGAAGAAATATTTAAAAATTGTGACGCGCTGCCATAAATATTTGCGGTGTGTGTGTGAGTGTGTGCGGGTGCATAATTTTAGGTGGAACTGTGTCTGTTTTTTCTGTCTATTGAGGCCCTTTATGGCCCCGTCCAGGCGACGTGTTTGTCATGCGTAAGCGGCCAACGGCGATCCAAATTAGGTTAAATGCAAAACAAAACAAATTGATAATTCGTTTTTCTTGCCAGAGGATGCTTGCTGCATGTTGGGCATGAAAAGCATTAGCTAAATGAGATACACAATATGAAACTCAGGGCTTTGTTGTCCCTTCGTGGACCGCTCAAAAAACTCGTTTTCTTAAAGGGTTTATGGGGCGGGCCAGTTGTCGCCAAGTGTCAGTGTCGGCGCGGCACTTCAAGCGATTTTATGGCAGTGAAAGAAATGAAAGCAGTACCCCGGAAGTAGCCGAGATGTTAAGCAGTCAAGTGAAGCAGTATACAATGGCAACGCAGTGACGATCAAACCCTCAAGCTGGGAAACTCTGTGGAGTTGGCAAATACATTTTCAGTTCCAGTTCAGTGGCAGAAGTTCCTCTCGAGGTCTCACTGTAGGAGCGAGCCACAGCAGAGGTGGAAACTTTGCTTCTCCCCAGACCCAGACCCAGACCCAGACCCAGAGCAGACCAGACCCCAAAGCAGTACCCCAACCAGACGGCAGACTCGCAAAAACAAGTGAACAAAATAATTTTGCTTAATTCCATGCAGCAAAGGAATGACACCAGCAGTCGGGTGCATGGGGCAGGTGGCAGTGGATAGGCGCCGCCGCGGCGTTGCCTTCCTGTGACGCAATTAGTGCAACATTGTTGACATTGTTTTTTGCTTTAGTCCCCCAGTATTTTCATCTTCTTTTTTTTGTGCTCCCTTTGAGCTTTTAGCTGTGTAAGCGGGCGGGCGGGATGGCATGCAGCGAGGGATGCGAGGGATACTTCATGTTGTTGTGCATGTTGCACATGCCAATGCCACAAGTCAAAGGGCAAGTTTAAGCCGAAACATTCGCGAACTTTAAAGTGGTTTCGGTTTCTTTTCAATTCTTACTCCCTTTTTTTTTAGCCCCAGAGATCCCCAGAGCTGGGTATGAGACAGGTTAAGTGTGTTCCGTTTCGCTCCATTCCCTTACATTCTCTTCCGTTTTGAATGCTCTTCCCGCTGCTCTTCCTGTTTCATTCCCATCATCAGCACTGGGACGCTTTAATTTCTGGCTTCTTCTCTTCTACCATTTCCCCATCCCCTCCGGCTTTTGTTTTTTATACCCGGTACTCGAAGAGTAAATCGGGTATATTGTATTTGTGCACAAAGTGAATGTATGTAACACACAGAAGGAAACGTTTCCGACCCCATAAGGTATATATATGTTCTTGATCAGCATCAATAGTCGAATCGATTGAGCCATGTCTGTCCGCCCGTCCGTCCGTCCGTCTTGTTTAGAGCCTGGATCGCAGAGACTATAAATGCTAGAGTCACCAAATTTGGCATCCAGACTTCTGTATGCTCACACTGTTACAAGTGTTATTCAAAAATGAGACCCGCCCCCTCCCGCCCATCAACCATCAATGACCATATCTATCAGAACACCAAATTGGGATCCGATTGGATCATTATTATAGCCACAATGAAGAAATTAATTTGCAGTGGCTAAACCCACCCCGTCCCGCAGCTTATATTTGTTTTTTGCACATTCTCTCATTCACACTCACAGCTTCTGGTGTGTGGGGCCACTGCCTCTGCCGCGAGTTTGCAGCGTGTGGGTCTAGGGAAGGGCGGCGAGCTAAAGGAGCGTCTTGGCGTGAGTAGTGACAGGTGAAGAAAAAATGTAAAATATGACAAATAACCGCTAAGGTGCAGAAGTAGTACTGAGTGCCTGGTATAAAAGTTGTGACGCGTAAGAAGCGTCTCACACGTCCCTTCTCGTTTTTGTTGTTTTTTGTTTTGTTTTTGGAGAGCCGAGAGCGCTTAGCTGATGAAGGCATTGTGTGTGGATGGATGGACCAGAGCACCAGAGCCCCTACCGTTACCAGTCATTTCCCCAGCAATCCCATTCCATCTATTCCCCGCTCCTGTTTGCCTGGCGAGTCAGTTCCACTTTAAGAGCAAATCAGGCATGAAATGAGCGAAAAGCTTTAAAATTTCAAATTTCTTGTTACTGTTTCATTCCTTTCTCCTCCATCTTCCATCCTCCACCCACCATTCGCTGCGTGTACTGTTATTCATGCATACGGAAAAAGTGGCAGCTGGAAAAAGCTTCGAGTTTTCCCGCCAGGAGAACTCAGGGCCAGGGCGGGCCAGCTGCAGGGCTAGAAAGCAATCAGAAACAACAAAAGAACTGGCCAAAAACTTTTACCCAAATTCGCTCGAGTGACTGGAAAGGGTAAGAAAAGAATAAGGTTAGAGGTGAGCGGCGAGCGGCAAGCGGCGAGCGGTAAGAGGTGAGAGGTGCCAGGGAAATTTAATAAATTTCCATATGAAATGGGTCTAGCTGAAACACGAAAAAGTCTAGAAAAAACAAAACGAGCATATTGTCCATCGACAACAAATCAATCACAGATTGAAAACTTCTTGTGTCTCCCCCGCAGCGATTGAACACATTTAAATAAACCAACAACAAATGTCACTACGCATATAGAAATCATATGTTTGGGTCTAGGACTGCGCCTCAGGGCTTTTAAATCTAAAGTACTTATGGATGCACGCTGCTCGTAGCTGGGGCAACTGGTCACCGAACTATACCCATCATCTGGTTGTAACACACACACAGTGCTCAAAATTACAAAAAATTACAAGTAAAAATGAAAAGTTTAAAGTGAAACTGTAAAAGTGAAAACTCTAAAAAGAAGTCACAAAAGCCACAGCTCGTACGTTTGGTCGCAGTTCCCCTGATGCAAACTAAATGCAGCCAGAACAGGCTCGGCACAGCATTTCCAACATATTAAACAAGGACGACGTCAATCATTCGTGGAACTTCTGGGCAGGACCTACGTGTGTGACCCTTTGCTATGAGGTGGAGTTCGGCCGATGGCAGTTGGAGAGAATCCGTTGCCAGGTTTTGGAGAGTTTAGCTTAGGATAATGGGTCAGTGTCAGTGTCGATTCAAATGGCTTTTGCATATCGCATTTTTCAGTAACAAATCACTCCCTACCTACAGGGGCTTCACCCGAGAAGATTTCACTTTTGTCGGCCAAGTTAATCTTGGCCAGATCCATCTCCGTACTTCCTTTACCGCCTTGAGATCTGCTGCCGCCTCTCAACGTTGCCCCCCTTTGGAGGTGGGAGGATTTGTGATCCTTTAACTGTTCGCAAATTGGTTGGCTTCCAGAGCCACGGACACTCTTACGGCTGAAGGCTCTTGTTGCTTCCGATGAATAAAATAAAAAATAAAATAAAAACAGTCGTCCAATGCTTCCAATTTGTTTGAGCGATTCCCCCACATCAAGAAATTGTGTCTGCGGCGAGTGGAGTCCTGGGAGGTCCTGGGAGCCTTGACCACTGCGAAGGGCACTCGTTCCAATCGAAAGGGAAAGTTGTGGTGCAACCAACAAGCGTTTTTAATTGATTTCCCAACTAGAACTTCCTCTTCCTCGTCCTCGTCCTCGTCCCTTCTTCCCTCTGTTCATGTGTGTGTCTGAAAAGTTTACAATAATTTTTGAACATTCAATGGCCGCAACTAAAAACGCCAAATTCCATTGGGTTGGGAGTGGGTGGAATCAGGAGGGACCACTGAAGTGTTGGGGCTCAATCCGCAACTGGGACTCGAGCTGGGAAAAGCGATGACAAAACAGAATCTGGACGGAAGGGAGGCGTTGAATGAATGAAAACTTTTACCAGCATTTGTCTGCTCTGCTGGCATATTTTGAAAAGCAGTTTTCCAAAATGCACACACAGAATAAGGGAGGGGATTGAGGAATGGGGAATACGAGTGAGGACGGAAGGACACACATGCGAACAAGCTGGGAGTTCAAAGTTCAACGCATGATTGTGGAAATGGAATTGCCAAAGTTGGTCAACGTAGGTGGTGCACAGAACGGGGGCAGAACCGTCCATCCTAGGGCGCAAAAAAGTTGCAACAACTCACAAAAAATAAAAAATAATAGAAAAAACACATACATACATACACACGAATGTATATTTGAATATTCCCCCGAAATTAGTGGGTACTTGTATCTCGGATCTCTGTAGGAGCTAGTGAAGCTACCATTGGAGGAGCAATGTGTCAAAGAACCTTTGCTGATACTGCAACTAATCCGAATCTATCGAATATACAACAATTGAACCGATTTTGCAAGGGTATAAACGCTTCGTAGCCCCAAATATCCACCAGGATAGTTGCCTTCTTTGCTTTCTTTATGGCTGGTTGACATTTTGTGCCTCCCTGCCCTTGCAGTACTTCTACTTTTTTTTGCATAATTTCCTGTTCTCGCTCGCTGTCGCTCTCTATCTCTGGTTCTGTTCTCCTACTTCTCTCCTATTTGGTTTGTTGTCATTTTCGATGACAGTTGCGTTAGTTGCTGCCTTTTGTCCACAGTGCCAGAGAGTGGAGTGACCAATCCCCAACCCAAACCCAACCCCCCACTGTCGTGCCCCTTCAATGGGGTGACACATGTGGGTCGAGCTGGGCGTCGAGGTGGAGGTGGAGGTGCACAGCTGTGTGCGAATCATTTTAATTTTATATCTGAATTCCAAAGTTCCTAATTGAAATTGCTCTGCGGCTCCCTCCAACGCAATGGCGGAGGAACAGAGGAACCCACAAAGAGAGCAAAAGCAGGCACAGACAGAAGGCCCAAATGGATGAGAAAGTGAAAAAGAACGGCTTCGGGTGCCCTAACCAATAAATCAACTAATATTCCTGATTAAACGTATCCAATAAATGCAAGAAAAATCAAAGGATAATTATATTTGTATTTGTGTTTGCTTTCGTCATAAAAATAAATCTGAAGCAACAAGAGCCTGCAGTCGTAGCCTGCAATTGCAGCCAGTTGAAGGATCACAAATGGAATTTGCAGCAACAACCACAAGCGCAGCCAATCGCCAGCGTTAGGAGGTGAAGGAACCCTGGTCCGACGTGGATGAGCCCCTACCATGGTATGGAGTTCGGTCGTGGCACTTGAAAAAGATACGCCGCCAGGATTTTGAAGAATTTAGGTTAGAATATAATTTGGGCGGTGGGATTGTCAGGAACTCGGGAAGGGAACTACAGAGTTGGATCTACGGAAAGGGTTTCAGATTAGCTTGCATGAAGATTGCACATAGTACCAATGGTTCAGGACTCACTCTTAATCTGGCCAGCGAGCGGGCTCATCGATGTGCACATGTTTAAGTGCCGCTTTAGCCGACAAAAGTGAAATCTTCTCGGGTGGAGCCCCTGTAGGTGGGGAGTGATTTGTTATTGAAAAATGCGATTTGCAAAAGCCATTTAAATCGACACTGACAAACCCATTATCCTAAGCTAAACTCTCCAAAACCTGGCAACGGATTCTCTCCAACTGCCATCGGCCGAACTCCATCTCATAGCAAAGGGTCACACACGTAGGTCCTGCCCAGAAGTTCCACGAATGATTGATTGGACGCTGCAGAGCTGCTCCTCTGGGTTGTTGCTGCTTGACGTTCTCCTCGTTTAGAATGTTGGGAATGTTGTACTGAAGCTGCATTTAGTTTGCATCAGGAACTGCGACCAATCGTACGAGCTGTGGGTTTTGTGAATTCTTTTTAGAGTTTTAACTTTTACAGTTTCACTTTGCACATTTCAGTTTTTTTTTTTTAATTTTGAGTATTGTCACGAGATGTTTAGTGTGTGAACGAACAGAGACGACTGACGATTTCAACTAAATGTAGACAACGACATTAACACATGCATTGTAGTCAGCCTACTTTTATCAGTAAAAAGAAAGTGGACAGAGTTGATTATTTTGTTCTAAGCCAGGGATAGGCCGTCAGACACTCGCATGGCTAACTTTGTTTTTTTGCACACACAACAGAGACGAAGTCAGAAACGTTTGTTGCTTCTCTGCCGCAGCGGCAGCCGAGCAATTGTTGTTTCTGTGACGCTGCTGCATTTCTGTGTGCATTGGCCGAGGCCACGCGAAGTATTTACGCTGTGCGGGAGCCGACTGTGCCGCCTGAGATCTTTTTTGTAGCGACGCTGCCGCCGCTCTGATCTAGTTAACAACAACAACGCGCTGGCGTCGACTCGTGATTGCCGTTATTCTCAGCGGGTAAGTGGAGAACTATGAATGAAAGGGAGTGTAAATACAAGTGCAAAAAAACTGTAAAATAATATGTCAAGAAGCTGCAAGTCAAAGTTAGACTTGCAAACCACCGAAAAGCTGTACAGGAGACTGGCAACAAAATAATTTAATTTCAATTAAAGCAAAGACCAAAGACAAGAGCAATACATTATACTCGCTTTGACCCAAATTCCACTCGGACCACACTTGTGACCCACAATTCACTCTTTTACTGTCGAGTGTTCTGCCAGCCACTTTCTTAAACCTCTTATTGGACTCTGCTGCTCCTCTGTTAACTTCGTATTCCTCGGTACACTCTTCCACTAATTCCCCATTTGAAAGCTTTTTCACTTCTCTCTGCTATTCGTCCATCATCTTGATGTCTGCTCCTGGTCAGCAGCACTAGACATGTTCGAACGGAATACCTCAAACATTTCTCAACCGGCAATCAGTGAGTGGTGTCTCCCTTTTCCTCATTCACTACCCTTCTCTCGCTCTCTTTCTCTCTCTCTCTCTGCCATCAAGCAGCAATCAACATAAAACAAAGACGAAGATGGCTGGCTGATGGCGAACGGTAGTTGGGGGGGGCAAGTGTATAAAAATTAAGCTCAATTACCAGAAATTTACAACATCAATAAAATAAGTGAAGAGTGCTCAACACTCGCACAAAAACACACACATACACGCACAGGAGCAGAGGCAGCAGCAGCAGAGGCGGCAGCAGCAGCCAAGGTACATAAATGCCAGGTGAGCAGACAGTTGCTGTTGAGGAATTTCATAAATTGACTTCCTCATGTTTTTAGCTGTGACAAAGAGCTAACAAGAGATGGAAGGATAAATGGCCACTGATGGGGAGTGGGGTCGTGCCTCACCTTATACCATAAATATAACCTGCGGGAGAAGGAGCAAAACAGGAATAGCAGCAGCAGCTACAACAGAGCGTAGCGTGCACGTGTGAGCGGGTGTGGGTATGGGGGCGGTGCCCAAAAACACCAAAGCACAGAGGGAGAAAGAGGGAGCGATAGAGTGAGGAAGAGCGGGAACGTGGCAAACCCATCACCGGATGCTGACATATTGGAACACGTACCGACAACATGCTACACCAAAATTATAGTCACTTCCTTGATTTTGATTTCAAGTACTAGTACTGGGCATGGGCATGGGCATGGGCATGGGCATGCTGTGAGGCTGTAGTTGAGCTGGGTCCTGGTCGGGTCCCCCAACCCTCCGCACACCATCAAGCGTACCAATCACCGTACCCCGCCCCCTTACCCAATACCGGCAACACACACACACACACATAGACCCGTAAGTGTTGCAAAATATGTTGACTCAACTCATAACAAGCGAGAAACTCAACGAGAAACTGAGAGCATGGATGGGGTGAGAGCCACCCAAAAAAAAAGAGGGAAACAACAACAACAAAAGAAGAGAATGAGGGAAAGCGAGTCCTGTGCGAGTGTGTGTGGGAGGGGGTAGGAGGGGTGGTGGTATTGGTGTAGCCAGCGAGCATCAGTTGAGGATTTCCTAATGAGTGCTTCATGAATGAATTTCAGCCACAGAATACTAATTCGATGGAAAATTCATTTTTCCACACGATTGGCAATTAAAAGAGATTTTCTCCACCCCCACACACACAGGGACACAGGGACACAGGGACACAGAGAAGTTGTGTGGGTGGGAGTGAGCTTTGTATAGTCATTGAGTGAATTGACAGGCGAACGAACCGAACCGAACCGAACCAAGCGGACTGAACAAGCCAGAGTGAAGCTCCCAAACCAGTTTGGGTTTTCGGACTGGGTCTGGGTCTGGGACTGGGACGTGGCGTAACAGTTGGGTTCGCCTGTACTAGATCCTGTGGCGGTGTGAGAGTTGACTCTTAGCGTTGGGATGTGTCTCTTGGAGTTTGGGTGTACTCTGCAGCTACTCCAGTGCTGACTTTTAAGCACTTTCTAAACGAGCTGGCAGCTGATTGGGAGGATAATAGGAGAATAATTTGAAGCACAAAATGAAACTATTTAGCAGGGAAGTGAAATGAAATGAAATCAAAGTGCATTCGAGCCGTTGTCCAACCTGCCGCAGAGTGTCTGCCGATTGGTTTAACCGGGACTCCCAGCATTGCTTGTTTCTGTCTCTTCTACAACTCTCTTCTACACCGCTCTCCGCACTGCACTCTCCCCCCCCCCCCCCCCCCCCCCCCCCCCCCCTCTCTCTCTCTCGCTGTGTGTCTGCGTTTGTGACTTATGCTGTGCCCCAAAAGCCAACTTGTCAATGTGTGACGGCAGTGAAGCAAGCAACCGACAAGCGTTGACGTATTTGACAAACACACGGACAGCGCATTCACATGTCCGACGGCGGAAGGGAGTTTACAGTAGCAGCAGGCGGAGGTGGAGCAGCAGCAGCAAGAGTGGAGAGCGAGATGGAGTGCTGAATGGAGTGATGGGTGATAGGGTATTTGTCACCTAGTGGCACTGCCAGTGGACCTCTGCAAAGGGACTCTGACTGGCAGACGACGAACCAGGGCTAATTACTTTAATTGGTTGTAACTCCCGTTAAAGTGCCACTGCCACAGCACCTATACAAATTGAAATTGCAACTCTCTCTGTGGGTCTGTGTGTGTGTGTGTGTGTGTGTGTGTGTGATTTTGGTGGGGAGTGGGGGCTCTGTGTATCCTTTGGGTGGCAATCAGACCTGCGGGGCACGAACCATTTGGATACAGAAAAACTTTCTGTTGCAAAATCTAATAATGCCCACCCCCTCCCTGCCCCAATGACAACTACTTAAAAAGTGCACGACAAACGCATAAAAACAATAAATTGCACAAAGCGGCAATCGGGCGTTAGGGGCACTCCACCTCTCCGCTCGGCACTCCCTTTCAATTTGAGTTAAATAAAATGCAACCCCGAAGGAGACAGAGCAAAATAGATAGCGACAGAACCGCAACTATAATAAAGAAGTTTTCTCGGTCTGCCCCGGAACCATGCTCCTGCCCAATGCCGCCACATCGACACAGAACCGCCGTCTGAGCAGCCAGCCGATGTCCCATGCTCCTCCTTTCTGCCCAGCCCTGCCCTGCCCCACGATACTTGCTACTTATTGCATAAAACACAATTTGACAGCTGCAGCCAACGGAAGGCCAAAGCAAAATCAGAGGAAACACTCGAAAAAAAGAGAAGAACGAGAATTTCTCACCCAAGACCGAAGCTTTCATTACCCTTGAAGAGCTTTCATATAAATAAATATTTCTAGACATTTGCATTATTATATTTCCCAGTGGGATAAAATCTTCATTCACTTTTACTGAATTAATCCAACATAAGTTTAAATTTCCGACATTAATTATAAATTAGTCGCTACGAACCATACGTAGAGTATAAAGAAAGAACAAAATAAAAGAAAAACGAATCAAGAAAAACAGAAAATTGTGGCATCCCATGAACTGAAATCGATACAGAAACAGCCGCTTCAATGATTTTCCACTTGCCACGCGAAACGCGAGCCATTCAGCGCTGCAGCGGAAATGCACTGGAAAAAAAAGGGGGAAAAAACAGCTGTGAAAATGCAACAATTGGGATGAGCCCACAAAACGCTAGCATTAGGTAAACAAATGTAAAGCCCAATCACAAATAGCACTACAAATTGAAGAAAACAATTCTCAAATAAATGATGTGAATCAAAGTAAAAGTCAAAACCAAAACCAAAACGAAAATATAATTAAAACTCCATAACTTTCGCTCAGAATGTGGAACACATTCATGATATGTAAATAGAAATCAAATTTAAAATGTTGTTGTGTATTTTCAGCACTTGGTTTTCGCACAAAGTTCATTACCAGCTACCAGCTACCAGCTCAAAGAATATTTTTGAGAATTATGCACTCTGGAAGCTGCCTTCCAGCTGCTCATCTACTAAAATAAATCACTTAAAACGGCAGACAGATGGAGTTTGAGAGAGTCGACAAAAGTGCAGGGGAGTCCTTCAAATAAACCCGGGAGGATACCCATCCAAAATTGTACACTCCCACCACCCGACCCGAGCCGAACCGAACCGAACCGATCCGACCCGACTCGACCTCGGGTATAGTCTCAAGAAAACTGCAAGCGGAAATAACTTAACTCAATTACGCTTAATTATATCCTACTTCGAAAGGAATTTCTTTTGTATTGTCCGTCCGCTGGGTCCACATGTCTCTCTTGTCCGTGTGTCTGTGTGTCTGTGTGTCCTTGTGTCCTTTGGCCTCTGTCCGCCTGCTCACAGACAATAAAAGTTTCCATTCATTTCGTTTAGTTTTTCGTATGTTACAAGATTGTGCCGCCTCCCACCTCTAGCCCCACCAACAAATAAAGGAAGCCGGCAACTTCTGCACCCGGACACGGCCTCCACTCACACATGTGACCCCGCCGCATATGGTGATGGCCATGGCGATGCCGGAAAGGGACGGGACGTAGGTGTCATAGGGGGGAACTGGAGAAATCCCACTTCTGATGATTATTATTCACTTGGGCATTTTTACGAGCTGCTTTAGACAAAAAGTTCGACTCGACTCGCCTCGCCCCGGAC